AAACAACTCCAAAAACCCAATGGATTAATTACAAGCATGAGAAGAAGACTTTTACTATCAGCTGGAAGCACTCCTGTCTTAATTTATAAAGGTGCGCAGCCGTGGACACCACTAGCGCAGGCTAAAGCTTTTGCGGTGAAAACACAGCCTTTGGTGTTTAAAGGAGAAAATGAAGAATTTAATGAGTTGAAAAGTGATTTGTGGATTTATTTACATTAAAATTTAATTTGGGGTTTAACGGAAATTACTATTTTTAGGGAAAATAAGGGACGGAAACTAGTTACTCAAGAATTGGGAATGGGGTTTTTGACGGCAATTCATACGATTAAAAACGTTTGATAATAAATTTGGATATTAAGGACCTCAACCAGCACAAGCATTAGACGATTTTGAGGGAAGCGGGGAAGAGCCAGAATTATCTCATTCAAATGACTACAATAATAATGAAGTTCCTGAACGAGATGCAAATGTAAATAAATCATTAATATTTTTTTGAGTTTAATAATAAATAATTAAAATAGAAAAATTTAAACTGCTATCTAAGCCTAGTCCTGTATACAAGGCCAATGTAAATAAGGGATGTCCCGGCAAAATTGAATAGAAATGCCTTCCTGTTCCCATTTCATTTAATAGCATTTAGGAACCCTTGTGCTTGATTAGAAAACTTTTAATGTCAATAGGATTGAGGTTTTCGAGTTGGGCCGACGTTCGTGTCATTTTTTCGGGCTTCATTTTTATTGGACCGGCCCGACCGAGTCTTTTTTGGGCCAAAATTCAATGCCCGACTCGATCTTTCGGAACGGGCCGGATCGGACCCCCCAACCTTAAATGTCAATGAACATTGCGAAACTCGATAGAAGCTTTATGGAAATGACACAAAAACACAAGTGCTCTTGCTCTTAAGTAATTTACTTAAAATTTAAACAGTCCGATTTGCATGAATCTCTCCGACAACCACTCAAAAGGTTAAGCAATCGTCAACTGTCAGTATTGCTAAAACAAATAAGAGGACAAAGAAGAAAGCAGCAGGGAGAGACTGAGGAGACTATACAAGTATAAAATTTCTAGAAATTTCAAAATTAAAAGAAATTTTTTCAAAGGACGGCCAAAGCCGTAAATCAATGCTAACAGAATTACACACATTATTACGCTCATCTTCAAACAGCCAAAGACTTCGACGTCCAAAATTATTAACGAATATAAATATAATACCTAATGAATGGAATATATATCCTCCAAAAAGATTAAATAATAATGAAGATATAAGGCTAGAGGGGTATGTTAAAAATGGAGGGGAGAATGAAACTACTAATTTGTTAAATACTTCTTCTATTGATAATATTACAAGGTGGATATTAAAATTTTTTTAATTTTCTTATCAAGATATGAATTTTTTCCCTTTTTTACTTAAAATTGTCAATTCCGCATTAATAAGTTAAAATTTGACAAAATCCTCGATTAGCTATAATTTGGGTTAAGTATTGGGTAATTCCAAGGCTGGTCCCCCCTCTTTTTTGCTGTTTCCCTGACCATTTTGAGCTTTTTTGCTTGACATATAATTTGAAATATAGCCTGGCTAGTATGATACAACCAGACTGAGATTATACGGACTTTTATACAATAGTAAGCTTGACCAGTTACCTGTCCGATCTCTAATAATGACAAATCCAGCCATTTTTTAATATTATAAAAGTATAATGTTTTTAAAATATCCGTTGATTTAGATCAGAAAATACGACAGACGAAAAAATTGAAGGAAATAATGAACAGCTTCCTAATGAATCTATTAATAGTGAAACTACAGAAAATGTAACCATAGAGACTTCAACAACTGCAGAAATCACAACTACAGAAATCATACCGACTCAAAATATAACTACAGAAAATAGTTCTACAGATCCAACAATTACGGAGGGTTCAACCCCAAATGATGGTCTAACAATAAATGATAAGGAGTTATCAGATAATGCGGGTAAGACTCCGGGGACGCGTTAAGAAAATTTGGCTGAAAATTTAACAATGGAAGTTTGTTCACGAGGATTTCACATAAACTCAGATCTAAATGTTTTCTAAACTGTACCTGTTCTCATAGAAATCTATGCACAGTTTGTCCTAGTAACATTCCAGATGGAAATTATCTAGTCGGATTTATTAGGAGGTGATTCTGGAAAAAAGACAAGTGAAGAGATCCCGTACTAATAGAAACTCTCTTTCACTCTCTTTCAAAGCAAACTCTTTCAAAGATTTGCCTAACTTTTTTAAAATATCCTTTTAGAATTTAAAAGAACAACTGAACAAATCAAAATAACAATTAAAACAACAACTGAAACTAGTTCGAGTACTGTTGAATCATTGCATTCTGTTGAGATTGGACCTGTTGATAAAGATGATAAATTTGTGAAAACAAGCAAAGATGATGTAAGGATTCAAAGAGGATTTAAATAAAGTCACGCTATAACCCGACATCAAGGGATAGCTTGATCTTATATTAGGGGGCTGTACTGGGAAAAACCTCTAAGCAAAATTCTGGTCTCGAAAGTTCCTTCCAGTCTTGTCTACAATACTCACATTATATGTATACACGTCACTCTCATTTATAGGCCGGTTCACTCCGGTCCTGAGGGTGACGTTTCCGAGGGATTCGGATAGTTTATGTTTTCTAGTGTTTGCTTTTGTTTATTTTTCCAATTTTAGGAAATCCCCCACAAATCAAAACAATCAAAACAAACGGAAAAAGAAAAACAACAATCTTCTAAACAAACAACAACATTTGAATCTAAAAAATCAACAAATAAAGACGAACAAAGAATAAAACGCCTAAAAGCACATTGGCGTGTAGTAGAGCAGAAAATTGCTAATGAGATGAATGCGGCTATTAAAAATTCTAGTAAAGTAATTTCTGAAGCGGAGAAAATATTGAACAAGGGTGTTAATAAAGAGGTATACGTGAATACAATTTTTAGATTAAACGAATGAGGGAGTTACTTGGATAGATAAAATTTAATTAAGGATTGCGTGTGCAAAAAGGAGTGTGATCCAAATGGCTAGGAATGAAAAAAGCTTACTAGGAAACGGTGGATCTTGTATTAGGGGGTTGAATATACAGGGTGACATAAAAGTAATTGCATACTCTACAATTAATCTTAATAACATAGAAGTAATAAGTCGCTTTGTCAATCACTCGCCCAGTAATGTGAGAAATCTCACCCATGTAGTTGCGAAATTTTACCCAAAATTTTTCAACGCGAAAGAATAGGAGATAGGATAAAAGAGAAAAGGATAGGAAAGGATAGGATAGCAAAGGATAGGCATTTCGAAAATTCTTGATTTTATTTGTTCCCCATTTAACCCTCTATTATTTAAGCCTTATTTGATTTCATTATCTTCAATTTGAATAAAGTTATTTTAAAAATAGTTGTGTAGTTTTTTTATGTCACCTGTATTAGGGGGATGATCTTATATTATTAGGGGGCTGTATGTGACTGAACTTTTAACACTATCTTACTCCAAAATTTAAGATTTACTCCATTTTCATGGTGTATGTCTCCCCAATGTCTCCTATCCTATATTTCTATTCCATTTAGCTTAAGTCCATTATGACTTAAGGTTATTAAGTTAATCTCAAATGTTAGCTTAGAATTAATCAACAATCAAGAGAATACTTTTTATTCAGAACAATTCAATCATTCACGCTTCAAAAACATTTGATCCTACAGCAAATCCCGAAATTCCGGATGAAGACAATAACAAAAAGACGCAACTTGAAGACTTTAAAACAGCCCAATTTACAGCCCTAAGTACACAATTAAGGCAAATTAGACAAAGATATGAAGCTTTAAAACGCCAATATTTGGCTAAACTTAGGTGGCTAAAATCCAAAAAAGAAGGGAGAAGGAAGGGAGGAAAGAAAAAAGATGGAAATAAAATTGCGGGAACTCCAACATTTTTGGATGGGGCAGAATTGAATTTGGATTCTGTTGGAATTAGAAGGAACAAAACGGTTGAACAATTAAATAAAGGTGAAATCATGAAATGTAATTTACATATTTGGCAAAAATTAATTTTATATATCGAGATCGTTTTCTTTACTGATTCAAACTTAAGGGATTTGAAGACATCAAATCCGATTAAAAATCGGATAATACCGTAAATTAAAGGGAAACAAAAGAGTTAAATTAATTCGTTGGAGTTCCCTTCTAGACGAGCTCTATTTTAGAGAATTTACGGCATTGAATGACCGCTTACTTTAATAAGATTGAAATGATATTATATTATCAAAGAGTAATTAAGAGGAATTCTTCTTTGAAAAAAAGAGAATTTTAGATTTTTGGAGAAAAAATGTGGAAAATAGGGATCGAAATGTGACGAGATCACGAAAAAACACCTAGGTTACCAAGCTTTATTTTCAACCTTCCAAGCTTGTTTTACCACCCTTACATCCTTCTTATTTCTTCGAATCTAGAGCATAATCAGAAGATTCTTGTATTCCTAAAATCCTGTGGAGAGGGGTAAAATATACTATACTAAGTACGAAGGATGAAATTTAATCCTTTATATTAAGAAGACAATAAACAAAGCGATTCGAATAGCCCAGCAATTGTTGACCAAAACAGCAACACTGAGGACAACAACAAAACAAGAGAAAATATTGGAATAATCCAAACAGAATTGGAAGAATTGAAACATGAGGAAGATTTTGCTAAAAAGATAATTTCAGGCAATATCGAAGAAAATGGTGAAAAGAAAATTGAAGAGACACCGAGTACTGTGATTGATGAGGAACACCCTGCTACTGTTAATGATAAAGAAATAAATGGTAGGTGTTACAAAAGCTTGGGAAAACTCTAATGCTACTCGATTATATATGGATAAAAGATCCTGTCACCCAACCTTGCTAAAATCGGGAATACCCGACGTTTGGGGTTTCTCGATTACGGAAATAAGGGAATGGATAAGACTAGAGAGTAGGTTTGTTCCCCGTCCCCGAAAATCGAGTAATTTTAGAGATTTTTTGAAAATTCCCTGCACCCCCGTGAAAAAGGAAAAATTTTCCCATCCCCGTCCTCCCCACGTGAAAAAAGAACGGTTTTGTACCCGTCCCTTCCCCCTACCCGTGTCGCTGCCTCCCCGAAAATTCTTCCCCGTGCCCTTCCCCCCCCCCTCCCCCACCATCGGAGAATAACCCTACTAGGGATTATACTCATTATTTACCTTAACATCAAGATATAGACAATAACATTACATTTTTCAAAATAAAAAGAAATTTACTTTTAGATAATACAGATACAACAGCAGTAACTTCCACCCTAAATCCAGTACCCCCAAAAAAGACAAAGAAAAAGAAGATCCAGGAAAAACAAAAAAAGAAGGACAAACAACCCAAACAATCTCTAAAATTAACTTTGGCAGAATTAGCAGAAGAACTAAACAAATTGGACGAAAAGTTGTTTGGAGATGTTGGAGGACAAATAAATAGTACAGTAAAAGAGGAGACGGAAAAAGATAAAAAGGAAAAAGAAGAGATTTTGGAGGGAAATAAATTTAATAAAAATGAGACTAAACCGGGAATAAAGACACAAAAAACTAAAATTTTGGGAAAGAAAATGAAAAAACCAAAACCCCAAAAACAACAACTCAAAAAATCATCGAGAGTTAATTCATCTCCTGATCTGAATGTCTCTCAAGTGCCTATAAAACCGGTTAATGGGAATCAGGCAAAGCAAAATGGAAGTCAATTGAGGTGGGCTATTAAGTAGTAATTAGTGGTGGGGGCAAGATCAATTTAGAGGCTTGAGTTAGACGAGCCGAGTCCCTCGTGTAACTGAGTCTCTCAATCACTGAGTGCCTCGAGTATGTCCCGAAATTTAGTTTAGAACTTAATGGATGTTGTGTCACACAAGTTTCTGTATTGGCCATATAACTAGTTAAGTGGTCGGTCCCTGGCCACCCCTTCAAATTAACTGACTAAATAGAATAGTACCTTTATCAGTTTACCCTTTCATCTTATTACATATATTTTTGGAGAGCTTTTCAAATATTTTTTATTCTAAAGAAATTTCAATTTTAATAATAGGCAATCTTCTGCTCAACAACCCAAACCTCTTCCTACAACTGGAAGACGTATTTTGACTGCAGATTGGACTCCAAGAACATTACTAAGTTATGATCAGGATGAGGAAAATAGAGAATTGTCTAATCAACATAATGGAAAGACTAAACCTATTAAAGTGGAGGAAGGAAATAGGGTGGGTAACGTGGATTTTTGAATTTGAGATTGGATTGGGGAAGTAGTAGGAGTTCGGGATCAATGCTTTGAAATAATTTTAATCAAAATTATTTTTATCTGGGTCACTATCGGAAATACAAAACCGCATCACAATGTGTTACGAGTAACAGAATATTACTTATCTTGAATAAATTTACGGATTTTGAGAAACCACAGTTAAATCACTCGAATTTCTCTACCGTTCTCTTCTTTCTTTATACAAAGCAATAATGTAATGGGTTATCCGACACAAGGGAATACGATGCTAAAAAAATTTCTGAAACCCCGACCCAACTTTTTCACATTACAGCGACTAGGTGATGTAATCGGCTTAAAGGATTTGACTCCTAAGCATCTTATATTCTTTAATTTTCAGGATATATCCCAGCAATTAGACTTCCCCCCAAGCATAGAACATTCATCTGTCGTTAATCCACAACAACAACCATTACTAGACCCATCAAGAAAATCCGTTAAAAAGAAGGGAAAACACAACAAGAATGCTATAACAACGCAACAACAAAGACTACCGGTTCCTACCCAACAACAAAATTCTCCCCAAAAACAAAACGGGTTTTACCAACTTGATAAGGCACAAGTATCTAACGGTACCTTTCATTATTTTTTCGATTCCTTGCTTAATTTATGCGTCAATCTCTATTCGAGAATATGTACCTTGATTTGATCATTTACTTTATGTGTTCTAAAGTAGTTGAATTTAATTTTATAAAACGGGCCAGAATCCAAACCCTGTTAAAATACAATTCTGAAATCTTCAAACCAGAGATGTTTAAGAATAATAAAAAGCTTCGGAACTTAGAAATCCAATGTGTGGAAGTGATTGGAAATTTCAAAATTGTTCGTACTCGTAATTCGCATCCGCTCCTAATTTTGTTCGTACCGTAATCGTACCCCCCCCCCCTCCATTTTGGCCTCGTACTCGTACTTCGCATATCACATTTTTTGTGATTATGCCACCAATTACGAAGTACTGGTACGAATTTTGGTACAAGCGCACTTGTGTGGAATTTTATCATATACTATCTAGTATTTATCCCATATAGGGAGGCTTATATCAAATGATTAAATTTTTAGTTATTCCAAACAAACCCCAAACAACTCCAGACAACCCCGAGTTTAAATTAAAAGGAGTTTCACAAGTTGAAGTAAAAGCCAGTCCAGAACAAATCGAAGAAAATGAACAAAACAATGAAAATGAAGAATTGTCTGAACAACAATTACAATTAAAATTACAACAAGAAAGTTTGCAACAAAAGAAGGCCACAAAACAACAAAACGGAAAGGAAATAAAAAAGAAAAATAAGAAAAAGAATAAAAAGAAAAATAAAAAGGGGGAAATGGTTTTGGAGGAAGAATTTAATGAATTGACTAATTTGGAGGAATTTGCTAGGATTGATGAACAAACGATTTGTGATGCTATTGCTTGTGATTTTGAGACAGGTGAAATGATGAATAATACTGTAGTATAATTAACTGAGTTTGAACGGATATTCCGGGGCTGCGAGTTTCGGTGTTTTTTTGGTACTGGTTCTGGGAACCGGAACGATAATTCGATCCCGTCCCGGCTGCCGGTTAAAATTTGTTTCCGGTGAAACACTAAAAAGTAGGCGAAAATCTTTAGGCTCTATCCGACATCAAAAATAAATTCCTTTCAGAAATTACTGAATTTTTCTATCCCCTATTTTGAGAATCGCGATTTCCGCCAAAAATAACAACGGGAATTCGAGATTTTCAGAAGTTAATTAGACTAGATACTGTTGTATACGCTAGTGTTGGGCACGAGACGATATATCGACGATATTTTTCGAGATATCGCGAGATTTTTTTCGAGATTATCGATCTCGATCTCGTCTCGATCAATTTTTGAAAAAATCGAGATTTTTCGATATCGAGATTTTTCGATATCGAGATTTTTAGAGATTATCGATCTCGTCTCGATCAAGTCAGAAATATCTGTCAAGTCAGAAAGACGTCTTTGACTACAGGCGATCACTTTTGAGTCCAGTAAATGCAGAAATGTTAATTTTTCTGAACCAATTTTTGGCAATTTGGCAATTTTTTGTGGCAAATTTACATTTAAATCATAATTAGGTATATTGATTGAAATAAATTTTTATTCAATTCTAAGGGATTATAAAAATATCGAAATATCGCGATAATCTCGAAAATTTTGGACCGAGATTTTTCGATATCGAGATTATCGATCTCGATTTCGTCTCGATCAATTTTTGGAAAAATCGAGATTTTTTCGATATCGAGATTTTTCGATAATCTCGATCTCGAAAAATCGCAAATGCCTAACACTAGTATACGCTATGTTATTTAGATTGTGGTCGATTAACTATGACACAAACCCCCACTTTATTTGTATAAAGACCTGACAAACCCGGACCCCGAATCTTCTTACCGAAATTTCGGGTGCTACAATATACGATACATATAATTTTCAGCTCTACTCCAGTTTATGCGTCCAATCGACTTTTATGCGTCCAATAAAAGTTTATGCGTCCAATAAAAAGAAAATTGGATTTTTCTTGGTATTGCAAAGTAGGGGTACGGTTTCAAAACATTTCTTCATGTTCGGGACATACGTCCACTGGGTCTGGGACCATTCCTTACCCTATTCCAAGAAATTTTTTAAAGTTACAGCCAATTTTTTAAAATTTCAGAAAAACGATTATAACTTTCAGAAATTTCGAGGGGTCGGGTAAGGAACGGTCCCAGACCCAGTGGACGTACGTCCCGAATGTGAAGAAATGGTTTGGAGCCATACCAAAACTTTGCAATACCAAAAAAATCCAATTTTCTTTTTATTGGACGCATAAACCTTCATTGGACGCATAAAAGTCGATTGGACGCATAAACTGGAGTAGAGCCTAATTTTCTCATATGTATAAGAGGGTTCATAAGTATTATGTAGAAATCTAAACTTGTATAATCGGCACCAGAAAAGGAGATGGAACTGAAAATTCCAAGGAAAAAATGGGAGATAACGCGAAATCAACAAAAAAAATATTCAAATTTTTTTATCCCAGATCAATCTTCTTACTCTCTAAAATCGAGGGATTAAGAAGATTAGTACAATAAAAGGAGTGGCATCTAATTGGGTAAGTTCAGCCTGACATCCCGAAATTGAGATTTCCCGTATAACTAGAGACGTTAATAAGTGCTGGTTAAGTAAAATAAGAATTGATAAATTGGATTTTTAACTCTTAGATAAATTTAACTTAAAGGAACCCTGTGTGAATGGGAAGCTAGTATCGACGAATTACATCCGAGTGACCCTCGTTATAAGCGTTACTTGATGGCCAGAAGGCAACACATAATGGAAAGAATGATGAGAAAAATGGTTAAAAGGAGCAAACGAGATGCTGAACCAAATGAGGAGGAAGCTAAAGGGGAAGAAATTGTTGAAAAAGTGCCAAAAAAGAAGAAAAATAATAAAAATAAATTAAATAAAAATAAGGATAAAAAGAAGGGGAAGAAGAAGAGCAAAAAAGAAAGTGTAAAGAGGGTATTGAATGAGGAGAAGAATCAAACTACGATTCTTAGAACTTGGCATAATTGGGTTGGGCAATACAAAAATAGGTTGACGGGGATTGCAAAATCAGGTCGGTAAAAATTGGTGGAAGTATTAATTAAAGAGGGTAACAGTTTGGGAAAGAGTACAGTTTTTTTCTAAAAAAGAAATCTAAAATCGAGGGACTAGGAGGATGAGTGCAATAATTTGAGCGGAATCTACTTGGGCTAGGTCCTCCCGGTGTAGAGAAGGGAAGAGGCCTACTTCATGGTTAAAGTAGAGACCGGCACGGGCCGGGACCCCGTCGGGATCCCGTCCCGGAATCCCAGGTTTTTCGCGGAAAACGGGATTCATCCCGCGGGATCCCGTCCCGGCCGAACTTTTGAAAAAACCCCGTTCCGGGATCCCGGGAATGCGATTTTGCCGGACTCTAGTTCAAAGCATGATGCATACCATTATTGGCATCCGAGCAGTAGTCTAGTATGTATTAATAGGGGTATGTATTAATCTAGTATGTATTAATAGGATTTGCAGCTTCTTATCTAAAACCAGGTCAACGATCAACACTCACTGGAAGAGTTTTGAGTGGCGAACAGGCGAATATTCGCTTTTGGGTGTGGGAAGCTACCAGGTGTTTTCTAAAAATTACATATAGGATTTTGACTCCTATAAATCCATCCATAATTTTCGACTATATTTTTAATTTAACTCCTTTAGTTTATAATCTAAATTTGTCTTGAAAAATTTATATTAAGTAAAATTAATTTAAGAATTCTTCTCAACTCGAAATCAAAGATTTGCAGCTTCTTATCTAAAACCAGGTCAACGATCAACACTCACTGGAAGAGTTTTGAGTGGCGAACAGGCGAATATTCGCTTTTGGGTGTGGGAAGCTACCAGGTGTTTTCTAAAAATTATGTTGAAATTTTGTTCCTTATAGGGACCTTCAATTACGCGTTTGTTGTGACGACACAAATGATAGACAATGTGTTTTCCAAACTGACAGAGGTGTAAAGCGGGGAAGTAGGCGATGGGTTGAACAGGATGCTACTTGCCCCCAGGGCACGAAAAAGGTTTTTAAATTTTATCGTTAATGTATGTGTTAAGTGACGTTCTGGCCCATTTCCGCTCAAAAAAGCAATCAAATAGGAGACGGATCTTCATAAATAGGAAGTAACATTGCCGAGTTACTTTCAGTCCCTAAGACTGAAGTCCCTATATTTCAAGTATTCAAATGTTCTAATACTTACTGAGGTGGTGGACCATGGGAAATGTTCAGATATCCTGATCTGGACCAGTATCCTAAACGAAAATTTGTGGATATTGAATGTTTCATCCGGATATCAGGAATTGTCTCTACATTTAATTTAAACCATATTGCAGTAGATAAGGTTTAATAGTTTTCCCTATGGCACTCGAATAGAGTAGAAAATGAGAGATTTTGAGAGCCAATAGGTAAAAGTAACCTGCTTCCTACAACACTTTAACACCCTGAATTTATAGATAATATTTGAATGCCGTAACTTGGGACGGTTTCAAGGTGCTTGTGGTTTAGACAATATTCAATTGCTCAATAATTATTGTCCTTCAATTACTTCAACTAGAATTACAAGAAAATAATTTTAAAAATTACCTCTCTTAATTAAAATTATTTAGTTGTTAAATTAATTTTAGTTTTTGGCAATAATTTGGAAAACAGAAAGTATTCGATTTCAAAATTAAAAAAATTTTATTGTCAAATAATTTTTAAATAATTTATTAATTATTACTGTAATATTAGGCCTTTCTGATTAAAATTCTATTTTAATTGAATAAATAAAAATTTAGTTATTTTGAATAATGAAAATTATTGTAACTAGGGTTGCCAAAATGGCCCGACTCGGACCGAAAGATTGATTCAGGCCTAAGATTTTTGGTTCGAAAAAAACTCGTACCGGCCCGACTCAATAAAAATGAAGCCAGAAAAAATGACTCGACCGATGGCCCGATTCAAAAACGGCAACCTTAATTGTAACGGTTTAACAAGGCCATAATACCACCAATGACTTCAAAACTTCATAAATTATTTTCAGACAAATTTGTGTAATTATTACTAACCTATTTTAACGCTACAAATATTTCGGTGTGTCAGTAAATCAAAAGCTTGACTAATTGAAGTTATATTAATATATTTTGTCAAATGAGATTTGCATAATATTAATTAATTAATTTTAATTTAATATAAATGAAGATTTAAAGACTATGACAATGTATGTAGCAAAATGTATCAATTTTATTTTTGCAAGTCAAGCTTTTAAAGCTCGACTAATTTACTTAAGGTTAATATTTAAATTAATTGTTACTCTTGTTATATCAAGCTTTGGCATGAAACGATAGTCACTTATTATTAAAGCAGTAATCGCTTAGTCAGAACAGATATTGTCTTACATACGATATGATTAGTGACCTGACTGGTCATACGAGAACCGAGATAATTATCTCGAAAAATCTTTAATCTCGATAACTTAAATTTTTGTTCGAGATCTCGTCCCGGGCTTATCTCTAATTGGAAGTTGGAAAGCCGCAATTTCTTGCTTAATTTTTTTTATTTTTGTCAATTGAAATTTCCTTAATATTAATTAATTCATTTAAATAATAATAAACAAATATCTATAAACTTTACCAGCGCATAGCCTCAACTGTCTTTTTTTATTTTTGCAAGTCAAGCTTTCAATGCTGGACTAATTAAAGGTTAATATTTGAATTTGTTTTTACTTCTTTTGTAGTAGAACAAAATTTGTACAATATTAATTAATTCAATTAATTCTAAGTAAAAGACTATTTAAAATTAAAAAATTCACTCAGACGTGCAGGCCCGCATTCGATATTTTTGTAAGTTAAGCCTTTATGGCTTGACTAATTTGTTGAATACATACCTGAATTTAAATTTCTTCTTCACATCATTGAGAGGCGACTGCAGTCAATCGATTTTTTGGTTTTGGTCCATTCGACGCAGTTTGAATATATGAGCCCCCCTCCCCCGCCCACCAAAATCAGCCTGGCTCCGATGGTTTTTAAACTTTTAAGGACCTATATCTCAGCTCGTAGGCATTTTTACCGATAGGGAGTGTCACTCAACTTAGCTGGCCGTGACGAATCAAGTGGTGTTTTAGACATATAGGGTTCTGGATTGGGCCAACGTGTAAATTACAGCCGAAATTATATCACTTACAAATTAGATAAATACAAGTTTTGATGATAAAATGAATTTTATCAGACAATCAAATTAAAAATAAACAAATTAGCTAAATAAATAAATAGTTTGCCAAATATATTTTTACTTTTTCAAAATTCATTTCAACCCACAAGGTTGTTTAAAATAGTTCCACTGGTCATAAAATCGGCATATTGGTGTTTACTTCTATCTGCTGCAGCATCCTCACTATAAAGTGTTTTGGCTTGGTTAGAGGCCTGATCACGTCGTTTACGCAATAACTTATCCATCACAGCAAAACGGCGTTTGCGTCCCACAAGATTGTAGAGAATAGAGCCTCTCGTATATGGGTCAGCCCAGGATGCCTCCACCGATGTTTGCTTGTCCCAATGGAGAAATTGAGAAATTAAAATGATCAGAAATAAAATAGTAGCTAAACGGGGGTGTTGAAAATGAGAAATTTTAGTCATTTTTATTTTTGGGTAATTATATTTTTAGAAAAATTTAAAAGGAATTTTGTTATTGTTTTTGAATGATTTGGAAATTTTTTTTAGATTATTTTGTTTATTAATATATTTTTTATTTGCGCAAAAATGTGTAAACAGCCAAAATTAACCGCCTATTTGATTAATGATCAAAATTAAACTTTCTCCGATTTTAAATTGAGTTGTGATTTGTAACAAATATTTTTTAATTAAAACATAATTTTACAAAAAATAATTAAATATTTTTAAGGTAAATAAAAATCAGGTTAAACATTTTAAAAAAGCGCGGAAATTTTTAATTTTAAAAATGCAACGGTAATAAAATTTTCAACATGAAAAGTAACCGTTAAAGTTGAGAACATTTATCGACATCGATATTTTCCATCGATATATCGTATCGATCCGGTCTCTACTTGATAGTGAAGATAGATTGTAGAGAATAGTGACAGCCCCTCCACCGAAGCCCACGATACCTCCACCTAATCCTCCGTAATCATGAAACTTATCGGATACCTATAAGTGGAAAAATTGAACTTAGAAAGTTTAGAAAATTATTGTCAATTATTTTATAATAATTTTATTTTTAATTTGATAATAATTTTATTTTTAATTCAAAATTTGAAACATATAATTTTTGTTATAATTAATTGATATTCATCCGAGTTATCATAATTTAACAACATTCAACGCCTTTCGTAAAATCCAAATTAATATCCAAACTTGCACCTCTTTGAACGTCGAAACTAGCTTTTCTTCTGGGATGATCAGGATGGAAATGAGGAAGCAGCTTTGTATCTTAAAAATTAAAAGTTTAAATTTTGTTTTATTGCTAAGGGAAACTTTCGAGTTTAATGTCTACTGTAGCTTGAGATTTCAAGTTTGGGAAATTCGAGGATCTGACCCGAAACCTTGGTATTTTTATTGGTCCTTAATTCGATTAGTTATCCGTTAAAATGCTAAAACGGATGAATTTTGACTTATTGGCTTGTAGCCAATCCTTTACATTTTTCATTCAAGACAACCCATAACTCAAGAATTTCCACTAAATTGTGATCTTATAACTGCCTACCATTATTCATAACAAAACGTTGATATTCGCTATTAACTGTAAGAATTCCTAAAACGCTTTGATCAAATCTATGACAAACTCCAATCAAAGTCCTATCATCAGGACAAAATAACTTAGAATCATCAGGAGCAACACATTGTTTAGTAGATGCGCAAAGAAGGGCCCTATAATTTTGAGCGATATTGTGTATTATTTCGAGAAAGGATAAAAGATAGTGTCAGCGCCTTTTATTTGGATCAAAACTAGCCGGCTAGTCGCTGATCTCCTTCTTCTGTTCCAGCTTCAATCCCTTCGCCTACATTATAAATCCCTACCCAGGAAAAACTGTTATTCTTTTTCACCATGTACATAA